ACACCAGCTCCCCCTTTTGTTCTCTCATCTCCTCCTACTCATGTGTCATACCCAGCTCCCCCACCCCTGTTCACACTCAGCTCCTCCTACTCCTGTGTCACATCCAGCTCCCCCACCTGTCACTCAGCTCCTCCTACTAATGTGTCACACCCAGCTCCCCCCACTCTTGTTCACACTCAGCTCCGCCTACTCATGTGTCACACACATCTCCCCCACCCCATTCACGCTCAGCTCCTCCTACTCATGTGTCACACCCAGCTCCCCCCACTTTTGTTCTCTCATCTCCTCCTACTCATGGGTCACACTCAGGCCCCCACCCATGTTCACACTCAGCTCCTCCTACTCCTGTGTCACACTCAGTTCTCCACCTGTCACTCAGCTCCTCCTGTGTGTCACGCCCAGCTCCCCCACTTTTGTTCTCTCAGCTCCTACTCGTGTCACACTCAGTTCTCCACCTGTCACTCAGCTCCTGCTACTCATGTGTCACGCCCAGCTCCCCCCACTCTTGTTCACACTCAGCCCCTCCTACTTATATGTCACACGCAGCTCCCCCCACCCGTTCACACTCAGCTCCTACTCATGTGTCACACCCAGCTCCCCCAGCTGTGTCACACTCAGCTCCCCCCACCCCGTTCACGCTCAGCTCCTACTCCTGTGTCACACTCAGCTACCTCCCCCATGTGCCACATCCGTATCCTCCCCCATTTTGTGTTTCTTGAGTCCCTGTGCATGCAGGTTCATTTAAACCCCTTTCTCTTCTATCTCTGTCTCTGTCTCTGTCTCTGTCTCTCTTTCTCTCTCACACACACACACCCAGGGGCATTCTGGCCTTGGTGTCCTGCCCCCAGGGTTTATATGTGTCTTTCTTTCACACATACACACACACACACACCCAGGGGCATTCTGGCCTTGGTGTCCTGCCCCCAGGGTTTATCTGTGTCTCTGTCTCTTTCACACACACACACACACACACACAGCCCCCAGGGTTCATCCCTTGTGCTCAGGAACGGAGTTGGTAACTGGAGTCACTTATTTTCTGACACTTGCTGTCCGCCTGCGCGTGCCAGGCTGAGTGTGGAGGTGGGTGGGTTGGAGAGACACGCAGGGTAGGGGAGGTGGTTCTTCTGCACTTTATTGAGGTGGGGTCAGCACCCCCCAGCGCACGTCAGGGGGCCGGTCAGTTTGCAGGTCCAGCGGCCATCAGCACAGTGGAGGACGTTTGCGTCACCTTCCACGAAGCCTGGAGCCTTTAGGTGCCCCTGCCCCAGCCTCTGTGTGTCCTCCTGCGGTTCCCCGAGGGAGCTCCCAGATGCAGGAAGGGAGGCAGAGACGTGCCTAGGCATCAAAGCCTCGGAGGCGGTGCCCTGGCCTGGCTGCCCAGCCAGCCCTGTGTGGGGCCCAGCTGCGGGAGGCAGGGGTGGGCGGGGCTGGGCATGCTGGGCAGGTCCTGGCGCTGCCTGGGCTGGCTGTCCCTGGCTGCCGCTGCTCTAACCGCTAGCAGCCGGCGTGCGGTCCACTTCGGGAGGAGGGTCGCGGCCCGCGGTCGGTAGTTGGGGGATGGGAACGGCTTCATACAGGAGTTGATTGCACAGTCATCCAGCTCCTATATGATGCCTTTCTTCATCCTCTTCAACCACGCACAGCCTCCGGACCCTCCGCTGTGCCCCGGGCTGCAGGGGGACACGTCTCGAGCTTGCTGCCGTCCCGTCCACCTCCACACGCCCCGCCCCGCCCCGCCTCGCATGCTCTGGGGTGCTTCTCCCCCAGGTCCCCCAGTTCCTGGAGGGAGAGCCTGGGGCTGGCCCGTCTCCGAGGCCCCCTTGGAGCAGAAGGCCCTGTACCTCCGTAGGGGCAGTCCCTGAGCCACCCTTTGGGCCTGCTGTGCTGGGCATGAGGGCCGAAGGCGGGCTCAGGGTCTGCCCTGGGGCCAATCTCGCTGAGCAGTTGGGGCTGCGCTCCCACAGGGCGCCCTCCGAGGGGACCCGGCCGCTGCCCTTGGCTCGCAGCACCGACAGCGCGGGCTGACTGCCCCATGGCCCAGGAGGAGGGTCTCCTTGAGGGGCCTCTGCCTCTACCCAGGGCTCTCCCGTGACCAGGAGGCTGAGGCCCCTCACAGGCGGCTTCTCACCATCTCCTCATCCCACCTGCCCCGTCTTCCCAGGACCCCAGAAGCTGACAGTGGGCAGCCCTCGTTCCCCTTACCCCTCTGCATCCCGCGCCCCCCACTAACTCCAGTCCTGTGCATGACTGCACTGCACCTCTGAGAAAACTGGCACCATTAACTCCATAAACCCACCCCACAGCCAGCCCAGGCACAGCGCCAGGGAGGGGAGCCACGCCCACCTCCTGCACCTGCTCCCCCTTCTCACCTGGGTCTGCCGGTGTCTCCTTGTTGAGTTCCGCAACGCGAGTGCAGGTCTCTAGGCCTGGGGTCACCTCTCACGGCCTTGGGACCTGACCAGAGTGCCCCCGGGCCCAGCAGCAGGGCAGCGGCAGGTGGGGGATTTGGGGTGGTGGCGGGGCCGGATTCTGGGGCGTGTGTGCTGCGGCAGGGGGCACCTGTGGGGTGTGGAGGTTGGAGGAGCGGGAGGTGGAGGGACTCAGCTCCCTTTGTCCTGTGGGTGCTGTCAGCTCCCTGGGTGCCCGTGACCTCGGGGTTGGGGGGAGAGGAGCTGGGAAATGGGCACACTTGGCCCCCAGGGGGGCCTGGGTGCTAGCTTGCACCCTCAGGAGCCAGTTGCTTGTCTCTGATTCCGGTTTGTGTGGTGGCCATGATGGCAGCACCCACCATGTCATCTAATTCTTTCTTTCTTTCTTTTCTTTTTTTCCCCAGGAGAATAAAAGGTTTGTATGATGTTTTTTAAACTCTTTTTCTGGGAGTGGAGACGCAGTGACCTGATGTTCTGTCTGTAGCTCTCTCGTGTGCCTGGAGCTGCCTCTCCTCTGCAAATGGGGGTTCTGGCAGGGCAGGGCTGGGGATCCACAGAGGCGGCTGGCTTAGCAGCAGGGGCCGTGCTGGCGCTGGTGGCCCTGTGTGCACAGGTCTGACCCCTGCCTACCTCCTTGGGCCAGGCTGTTTGGCCACAGACTCTGTGCGTGGCCCTAGCTTGCGAGGGTCCACGGACTGTGCATGGCCCTGGCTTGTGAGGGTCCACGGACTGTGCATGGCCCTGGCTTGTGAGGTTCCACGGACTGTGCGTGGCCCTAGCTTGCGAGGGTCCACGGACTGTGCGTGGCCCTAGCTTGCGAGGGTCCTAACTGCCCTGCTCCTTTTGATGGCTCCAGGCTGAGGCCCACTCAAGTCCTGGGCTGGGGAAGGGGAATGTGGGGGCCTCCCACTCACCCCACATCCACCAAGGAAGCCCCTATTAAGCAGAGTCAGAGGCCCACCCCCAGGAATGGCCTACAGGGACCTGAGTGGGGCCCAGTGCTGGGCGTGTTCGTCACATCAGGGCCCCTGGCCGCATACCAAGGCAGTTCATGCATGAGGTCTGTGTGTCACCCGACGCCCTGGGCCTTTCCTGTCCTTGAATCTCCCCAACCCTGTGTGGTGAGGGGAATGAGGCTGCACGAGGGACAGCGTCTCCCTGGGGTGGCTCAGCATGCTGGGGTCAGGGAGCCCCCCGGCCAGGCCACTGAGGGGGACCCTAGAGGTCCTGCAGTGGGAGTCTCTGCTGGGGTTGCTGTCGGTGCAGGGTGCTGGGGGCCGGGCAGGCAGACAGGGCGACAGGGCTGTACGTGGGCGCCCCGTGCAGGCGGCAGGCCCGGGAGGACCTGCCCTCAGCCCTCTGCGGCCTGGCTCTCCCCAGCAGTCGGTCCAGAGTGGGCAGCGGAGGGCGGGAGCTCTGCATACTGGCTGCACCCCGGATTCTGCCCATGTCCCCCTGAAATCCTCACAGAGCCCCAGTGACCGCTGAGGGAGCAGATTGAGAGGTCCTTCTGTGGAAGTGGGTGGGGCTGGGTGGGTGTGGGGCCGTTGGCAGGGAGAAGCCCTGAGGTGTAGCCCCTGACGTGAAGCCGGGGGTCCTGACCATGACCCCACGGTGCTGTGGTTGGGGGTAGAGTCCTCAGACAGGCGAGCAGTGGGGACAGTGAGATGCCCCGGAGGCGCTGGGAGGGTCTACCCTCCGTGCCCAGAGATCTGGGTACAGCTGGGCTGGGGGAGCAGAGGGGGCCGCACGGTCAGGCATTGGCACTTTTAGGGCACAGTGGGGTCCCTGAGGGTCCCCGCCAGGGAGAGAGGTGGGACAGCTGCCGGGCAGCTGCTCAGAGCCCTGTGAGCCCCCGACCTTTGAACCTAGACCTGTGAGGTGGTCTCACGGTGCTGGGTCGGGGCCAATCCCAGGCAGGGCACAGATGGCAGACATGGGGTCCTGTGTGCGTGACCCTTGGTGTCCCCTCTTCCTTCGAGGTTTAGAATCCTGCCCTTTGGCCTCCTTTGATGGGGGGCAGGCAGAGGGTTGAGTGAGGCAGCCTCCCCTTCCTAGGCCCGTGTACCCCATGTGGGGGGCAGACCCCTGCAATGGGGCCAGGTGTTTCCATGGGGGCCGGTGTGAGGCTTGCTCAGGGCCCCCGCCTCGGCAGGGAGGGTCAGTGACTCCCCCACCCCAAGCTCCCCAGGGGGCATCCAGGACCTCAACGCCCCCAGCTTCCTGCGTTTCAGAACAAGCCACAGATTCAGTCTTTACTCTCTTTATTCGGGGGATGACAGGGAGGCGGTGGGAAGGTGGGGGGGGGTCTCCGCCCTGTGGCAGCGAGCAGCATCTGGCGGTCGGTCTCCATATCGGGCGCCCCACGGTGCCCAGCGTCCGGTAAGTGATGCTGGTCCAGCAGATGCTCTGGGGCGTGGTACATCCAGGTAAGGCCGCAGCCCAGGGTCAGACAAAGTCAGTGTCAGAGGGCCGCACCAGACAGGGCGGGAGTGGGGTGGGGGCACGTGCAGGGGGTGGGGCTTGCCTCTGGGGCGGGGCGGGGTCGGGGCGGGGAACAGGAGCACCGGTGCTGGAGGTAGAAGTCAGCGGATTGCCCAAGGTCAGTGTCCCAGGATGCGCAGGGCGACCGCGCGGCCCCCGGGGTGGGCGGGGGGCGTCCCTGGCGTCTGCTTGCTTTGGCTGCATCTGCTGTGGCTGCTGCCTTTTCCGGGGGTGGGCTGGGGCGGGGCGTGGGGCGCTGGCGGCTCCCAACTCCGCCAGCCGCGGGCCTGGGACCTGCCAGAGGATTAAGACGGGGGTGCGTCGGTAGCCCTGGGCTGGCTCTGGGTCCTGGGCGGCTGGGCGCACCCAACGACGCCACTGGTTGACCAGTGGGGGCGGCTTCACGGACAGGGTCCCCTTGGGTCCGGAGCGGAGGGGACGGGGCGCCGGGTGTGGGCGAAGCTGGTGGGGGGGCCGGGCAGGCCGGGTGGCTCCCTCAGTCCAGGTCGTCGTCCCGCTCAGGGTCACCCTCGGGCTCAGGCAGCTCCTCCAGGCTGGGAGCGGGCGGGCTCTGCGCTTGGGCCAAGGCCAGGAAGCGGTTCAGGGCCTGGGCCACCTGCTGGCGGCTGAGCAGGAGGAGGCGGCCGCGGACGTGGAGCAGGCGGATGCCCAGGAAGTCCAGGACTTCGGGGTGCAGCAGGGAGCGCGG